GATGTTCCGGGGTTCTACGTGCCTTTTGCTAGTACTAAAGTCACCAGGTCTCTCGGAATCTCAAGCCCTAAGCCCTAAACCCGAGAAGAACGCATGTCCGAAGGGCTTCATGGCCTTCGACCTCCTGTAAGAGTGATCCTTGGGGTGCAGGTTTTCGGTCCATACTTCCTAAACCTTAAACCTAAAACCCTGAACCCGAAACCCTAAGCGCCAAACCCAAACCTGGCATGTTCGTTTCGATGCCCACCGCGTGCTGGCTTCATCGATCCCCTGAACCCTACTTGGTCGCGTGTACATCGTTTGCCTGGTGGTTTCGGGCTGCCGGGCTTACTTGTGGATGCTGGAAACATCGTTATTCGCGAGTAGCGCAAGTGTACGTTCACACGTTTGTCTCGTGGGTGAACCTTCCGCAGGACGCTAGCATGATGGCCGCTTTGGGGGCCATTTGCTGATAAACGAGTGCCGGAACCAACGTTCGACCCAAACTACTTTCTGCACTCCTAGGCCTTTTTGTCTGTAAGGAGGAGAGATTGGAACACCCTTCTCGCTTGACCATTGTAGGCACCATGCGAATATCATGGGCAGTACATTAAGCGGAGACACTAGCACTCTGTACGAAGTCCAAGTGTCTGAATCAACCCCCCCCGCCCTCCCCAGCTTGCACCCCCCCCCCCCCCCCCACCCAACCATGCCCTGAAAAGCCGAAACCGCAAAATTGCACGAAGGCCAAGTGTCGGAATCACCCCCCCCCCCCTCTTTTGCCCCCCAAACACCCAAACCATGCGAAATCCTCTGCAACAGACCGAGGTGTCAGAATCAACCTCGTCCCTGAAAAACCGAAACATCGCCCCTACCGAGTGACATCCATTGAAATCGCCGAAAAACACCAGGCAAACTATGTACACGCCTCCCCCTACTTGGAGGTTCATGGGTACTTCTAACCCCAACTATAACTCTACCTTTAACCTACTTAGAGGACGCAGGGAATTAGGGGGCTTATAAGTACAGTGATAATTGCGGTTATACGTACCCTAAACCCTAAACCCTAAACCCTAAACCCTAAACCCTAAACCCTACAATTGGGGTCATAAGTACCCATGAACCTCCAAGTAAGCCCTATCAGTGCACTAGCGATGCCCCTGGAGGAAGCCAAGACTCAAAAGGAGAAGCCGCAACTTCGCTGCAAGGAACGCCTACACCCGAAACCCTAAACCCTAAACCCTAAACCCTAAACCCTAAACCCTAAACCCTAAACCCTAAAGCCTAAACCCTAAACCCTAAACCCTAAACCCTAAAGCCTAAACCCTAAACCCCCCTAAACCCTAAACCCCCCCTAAACCCTAAACCCTAAACCACCCTAAACCCTAAACCCTAAACCCTAAACCCTAAACCCTAAACCCTAAACCCTAAACCCTAAACCCTAAACCCTAAACCCTCCTACACGGAGGGTCTAGGTGTCGGGTTTGGGGTTCAAGCTTTTAGGGTTTTGGAGCTTGGGGTTACGGGGTTTTCGGTCTTTAGTGTTGAAGGTCGGGCGGTTTTCATGGAGCTGTAGTACCTGATGTCGTCTGAAAATTAGGGACCGCTGAGAAGGAGCCACAAAACTGGGGGTCAAGGTGAGGTTGAGTACGTGTGACCCTGCCGCCTAAGTCGGCCACGTGTGCGCAGAAGGGGGGTGGTGGTATCGTGGGGCAACTCTACACCCTTAAAGCCCAAATTCTCAGGTTGTGAACGCCTTCTTTGGGTTATTCGGCTTGACGTTTCGGGGCCCTAGCCCCTGAACGCCATGCCACAAAGTCGTGGTGAGCACTTTCATCGCTCATCTTGATTGAGGCTTGGGTGGCCAAGTTCTTCGCATTTAAAGCCGAACCCCGCGACCTGAACGGCACCTGCAGGGCGCACCCCCCCAGATACTGTAGCTTACCCCGAAAATGTGTATGAATTCGTAAGTACGCACGCTCGGAAGTGCGCAGCCTCAGCCAGCGTGGAATCCGCCAGGGCCTGCTGATAGGGCCTCGGCGCCCAGAGACCTCAACCCAAAAACCCTGAGCAGGGTTTTAGGTTTTCAGTCTGTTAGGGTTTAGGGTTTAGGGTTTAGGGTTGAGGGTTTAGGGAGGTTTCGGGTTTAGGGTTACAGGGTTCAGGGTTGTAGGGTTTAGGTCTTGTCTTGCTCCCCGGACCATCATCCTAAACCCTTAACCCTTAACCCTTAACCCTAAACCCTAAACCCTAAACCCTAAACCCTAAACCCTAAACCCTAAACCCTAAACCCTAAACCCTAAACCCTCAACCCTAAACCCTAAACCCTAAACCCTAAACCCTAAACCCTAAACCCTAGACCCTAAACCTCCCAGGACCATCATCATCATGAAGACGACCATCGGCTGCGGCGCTGGCAAGGGCATCGAGGGCACCTCGAAGGCCCATGGAGGCAAGTTCTCGAACTTGGAGGCGAGGCTTAGGGCTTAGGGCTTAGGGCTTAGGGCTTAGGGCTTAGGGC